GAGTGCGCCTGCGCGGAGCCCGTGGCCGCGCCTGCTCGCGCTGGGCGCTCGTCGCTCGCCGGCGGCCATGGGGGAGGCCGAGGTGGGTGGCGGGGGCGCCCCGGGCGACAAGGGTCCGGGGGAAGCGGCCACGAGCCCGGCGGAGGAGACGGTGGTGTGGAGCCCCGAGGTGGAGGTGTGCCTCTTCCACGCCATGCTGGGCCACAAGCCCGTCGGTGAGCGCCGGCCGCGGACCCGCGTGGGGGCGGGGTGGCCGCAGCCGGCGGGCGGGGCCTGTGACCCGCGCCGGACCGCCCGCCCCGCCGGCTGGCCCGGCCTTCCCGAGCCCCGACCCCGAGTCTCGGACCCTGCCCCGGGGCACCCCCAGCCCCAGGAATCGCCCCTTCCCGCGGCGCCCCTGGCCGACGGACTCCTCCTCTCTGGCCCCGCTCCGGCCCGGCCCAGCCCGCAGCGCCCCTTTGCCCGGCGCGTCACCCTCACGCCCCCGGCCCGCCGCGTCTGGCCCGTGCGCCAGGCCTGCCCCTCGGGTCACCGGCCCGCACACGGGCGCCTCTTCCTCTGCGTCCCGGCCCTGCTCTCCTCAGTGCCTGCCTCACTCATTCATCCCCCGGGCTGAGCGCGACTCCACTGCTCCCCCCTACAGGTGTGAACCGGCACTTCCATATGATTTGTATCCGGGACAAGTTCAGCCAGAACATTGGGCGGCAGGTTCCATCCAAGGTCATCTGGGACCATCTGAGCACTATGTATGACATGCAGGCACTGGTGAGCTGGACTCCTACTCCTCTAGTCTTGGGGGGCAGTGGGGAGACAGGAGGCCCCGGACCGGGCATATCGTTTCTGCTGGGCAGAGCTGCAGGTGGCCCCAGCGGGTGCGTCCCGGTCCTCCCGAGCGCTGGGCAGTGCTGTGGAAAGGCACTGCTGCTCTTTCCGACCCCGCTTGAGATCGCACAGACAGTGAAAGTCTCCAGGGAGTAAGAAGGAACCTGAGACTGGAGAGAGGAATCCGCTATGGGCAAAGTGGGATGCAGAGGCTGGGCCCGTAGTTGTCAGGCCTTGGCTGACCCAGACGTGGGTAGGTAGAGGACAGCCTCGCCTGCAAGTAAAGCAGCTTCTGTGAGAGCCAGGTAGGTAGAGGCCCTGTCCGCACAGTGTTGGTTGGTTGACGGGTTCCCTGGTTAACCAGGGTGGCAGGAGAACCAGAAGAGCTAGATAACAGAGGTGGCACTAGAAACAGGTGGTGTTCCTGGCAGAGAAAGCGCAGCTGTCCGATCCAAACCCCGTAGCCACTGAGTCCCGCAGGCCCAGGAAGTAGTGCAGTGCTGCTGGCGTGAGCCAGGCTGGAGTCGGCTCTCCGCAGGAGGTGTGCTGGTGGGAACCGCCGTGCATGGGCCCCTGGCCAGAGCAGACCGGGTGTGTGCTGTGCTGCTGAGCCTGAGAACGCTGGGTTTGCTCCAGCCAAATCCATCACTCACCTCTCCGAGCTGTAGCAAGAGGACAGGGCAGCCACAGCCTGGCCACAGGAACGCCCTGAGAATTGGAGCTATGTTGTTGCCCACAGTCCATGTGGAGGACATTCTGGGGAGCTTACACTGGGTGACCAGCGCCGGGGAACCCACATGCAGCATACTACTGAAGTGCATCCTGGAGCACCCGTGTCCCTCCCTGTAATTGAGTGCATTAGCTCCGGGCTGTCTGCTGGACACCGCCTGCAGGTCAAACACCCTCCCTTCCTCGAGTCCCCAGGGCTAGCAGCTTGTTGTTTTGTGGGGTCGTTTGGGGGCACTGGTCTCCAGACGCTTCTGCACCAGGGTCCAGAGAGATCGGTTCAGCACTGACGGAGCCTGTGGGACAGGCAGAGAAGCTTTCATGGCTGTCGCTGCTCCCTGGACACCCTTTGGCGAGAAGGTCAGGGTGGCGAGCCACGCTCTGTAGGCCCTCTCCTGGTCCCCTGCAGGGGCTGCTAGTCTAGCCTTCCTGTCTGTCTGGGAAGCCCGGCCACAGTGGACGCTGCACATGGAAGGAAGGAAAGGCTTTCACCTTAGTGTCATCCACGCGCAGCCTCCAGTAGTCGTGGCACTCGCTGCTCACTGGGGCCTCTCTGTGTCTTCAGGGACCTGCTGACAGCACGTTTTCGTTGTTTCTTGAGAGCATAAAATGCTTTGTTCTTCCTTAGCATGAGTCTGAGATTCTCCCCTTCCCAAATCCAGAGAGGAATTTCGTCCTTCCTGAAGAGATCATTCATGAGGTCCGAGAAGGTGAGACTTGGATGAGGTCAGGTTGGGGAATGGAGAAGGCCAGATCTGGGCCAGCAGTGGGGAGGTCAGGGGCTTAGGGGAGGGGTGAGGGCCCTGCTCAGGCCCACCCCGGCCTGTACCCGGAGGTCTTGGGAACCGGTGGCTGGGGTGGACTTTGCTCAGGAGCAGTCATGTGACAGACACCAAGACCTGTGTGGGCAGCAAGAGTTGGGCAGTGCTGACCTGACGCCCCAGTGCTGGCCGTCACCGTGGGTTTCCAGTGAACGTCAGCCGTCTCCTCCACAGGAAAAGTGATCATTGAAGAGGAGATGAAGGAGGAGATGAAGGAAGACGTGGACCCCCACAGCGGGGCTGACGATGGTGAGTGTGCAGCTCCCCACCCTGCCCCGTGCCCTTCAGAGCTCCCCAGCCTGTCTCCCACATGCAGGCAGGCCAGGTGGCCACAGGGCCCACGAGATGGAGATTCCAGCTGCAGGCACGCGTGGCGCAGGTCCTCCCCGCACAGGAAGCGGGGTGCTCCGCCGCCGCCGCCTCATCTGGCGTTGTGGTAGAGCCTGGAAGCCTGAGCATGTGACACCTCAAGGCTCTCCTGGTTGGGAGGCCCTCAGGACCTGGCCTGTGTGTAAGGGGCGCACCAGCCAGGAGGGAAGCCTGCTGCATTACATGAACAGATTCTCATTTTTCTAACTGAACAGAATAATGAACTGAGATTCTGAATATACTGTTTCCAGTGAAATGATTTTGTTTCTCAGTTTTTTCATCTTCAGGGAGCTTGGGGAAAGCAACAGAAAAATCCAGCAAAGACAAAGAGAAGAACTCTTCAGACTTGGGGTGCAAAGAAGGGGCAGATAAGCGGAAGCGCAGCCGGGTCACCGACAAAGTGCTGACAGCAAACAGTAACCCCTCCAGCCCCAGCGCTGCCAAGCGGCGCAGAACATAGACACCTCACCCCCGGGGCAGCAGAGGCGTTCTGATGCTTCAAGCTACTCCTGCCTACCCTCAGTCTTCGGTGAAAGTGCTCATCTCACAGGGACAGGCGTGCCATGTTGCCAGCCTGTCGGGGACTCACGGACCTGAAAGACCAGGACCAACCCGGCTGGGCTGCGGAGGTAGCTGAACCCCACTGTGCCTCCTCCCAGGGCTGCCCACCTTCGCCCCCCGCTAGAGGAGGAGGCCGGGAGAAGACTGGACGTGGCAAGCAATAACACACCGTGCCCACTCTGCCTCAGAAGGGGCACCTCGTCTTCCCTGGCTCCCGCGCTGCGCTGTCTGGCCTTCTAAGCCTCCTTTCTGCCCTGACCGGGACATCAGGATGGTGTGGCCCAGGATGTCGCACTACTTGCCCTGTGCGGACGCCCCCACCCGAGAACCTAAGGACTGGATGTTTTGCCTCATTCACTTGTACTGTAATGATGTATATAATTTGGTTGGTATTTCACTATTTAATTTTTAAGAAATGTATTTTATACTGGTGTTTTATATGAGCAAAAATACTGCAGAAGTTAAACCTATGTTGTATTTTTTCTGAGATGTTTTGTTTCCAGGTGACAATTGCTGAGATATTTTGCTCAGTTTTTATATGCCAGATACCGAGAATTTGTAGCGGTTATTTTTGTAATTCTAGTGACTTGTGAAAAGACCGAATGAACAGGCGGAGGGGAAGCACAAGCGCTGGCAGAGGCGGCCCCGCGCTGCCGGGCCGCTTCATTTGGCGTGAGCATTAAAGCACAGAAAATGCAGCTGGACTCGTGTGGTTTTGACAGCCAAGGTGGTTAGCTCTTTATGCAGTGGAAAATTTTATTTTTCTCGGATTTGTGACTGGAGAGCTGACAAACAATTTAATGTCATTTGATACAACATAAGAAACAGTAACAGGCCCAGTGTGGTTACTTTTTTTTTTAACTTACTTAGTACAGGGTCTGCAGGCTATCACTACACAGATCACACTGGTAGTGATCCTCCTGTTTTCGGCCTCCCGAGCACTGGGGTGACAGGTGCACGCCACCACACCTAGTCTCAATAGCCATCTCAGCGCGCCCTGGGGCGGCCCGGCCCAGCGCAGCAAGGCACGCCGGGATTGAACCCTGGGTCCTGCCTCTGCCTAACCGGGCGCTTTAAGCTGCTGAGCTATCTGGCCAGCCCTCCAATGTGGTTACTTTTGTTGAACTTGGCCAGCACTGAAGACAGCCCTCGGGGGAGAGGAAAGACCCTGTGACCAGACACCCGCTGCTGTCACTTGTGTACTGCTCTCTGGCCATTGAGACCACTGGCAGAGTCTGTTCTTCACAAAGCAAACTCCTGCTGCTCTGAGAAGACGCACTGGGTCTGGGCCAGACTCCACTGCCCTGCTCTACCCATCCAGACACCTCTGTGAGGCTCAGTTCCTCTCCTGCCATCTTCAGAGACCTGAACAGTGAGAAAGGAGGGGCCTAGCCTCAGGCTGCACCGAATTCCCATCAGTTCCAGCCAAGGCAGGCAGTCAGTGCCTCCAACAGAACTGAGTGGGCTTCCCAGCACGGGAGGAGCATCTTCCGTGCACCAGGGGCTCCATCCCGGGAAGCAGCCCTCCTCCCAGCTGCTGCTTCACACTCCCGGGCTAGACCAGCTTTGGGGTCCCTGGTCCGCTTTCTTTTCTTTTTCCTGTGGAACCAGGGATTGAGCTCAGGCCCTTGCGCTTGCCAGGCAAGCACTTACTTGACTAAGTTAGCTCCCTGGCCTATCCTGGTCTGCTTTCTGCAGAGATCGAGTCCTGCTCTGAGAGGAAGCCTCAGCTCGTGGACTCCCTGCTCACCCCCAGACCCTCGGCTGTAGTCAGCCCTGTCTGTCCTGTCTGAGAGGGACAGCAGGGAGGTTGGCACTACAGCAAGGCCTGGAGGCTGCTGGGGGGGGGTACCACTAACCCTTACCAGGTGCCCACACCCATGTGACCTCTCCTTGAAGGTAGGCTTGCACTGAACGTCTGTTTTGGCTTTTATATATAAATTTATTTTTTGACCTGCTCAGCCCACCCTGAGGGCGGGCTGGTGCAGCATGTGGTGCTGCGGATTGAACTGTGGCCCTCTGCGCCTGCCTAAGCTTGCCTAAACAGGCGCTTTCGACCGCTGAGCTATCTCGCCAGCCCCTCACCGTCTGTTTTTATGACTGGCCCAGCCGCTGGATTCCTGGTCCATGAGAGAAGCCTGATTTCAAGGCATCCAGAACAAGCTGGGGTGTGTGTGTGTGTGTGCGTGTGCGTGTGCGTGTGCGCGTGCGCGCGCGCTGTCCCCAGAGAGTGTCCCCTGAAAGCATAGTTGTCTTTCTGCTTGCCAGGGGAGGGGAGGGACTGGCCACCCGCCCAGGTGCCCCTAGGTCAGCCAGCCCTCTTGATGCCCAGCCAGAGCTCCCCACCTGCTGTGACAGTAAACCCATGTCCTGCTTCAGTTCACACAGCAGGACCGCACTGTGCCACATGTGCAATCTACAGACACGTCCACAGCCACAGTTCCGTGGGTTCACGACTGACCTTTTAGACTGTAAGGTGGTAGGACACAGGTGCCTGTCAGGAAGGAGTGTCCCAGTGAGTGACAGGGTAAGAGGTCAGCAAGGCTCAGGGCGCCCGGAACGTTCTCGTGGTGTCCCCAAGGCCACAACTGGAAGGCTGCAGCCAGTGTGGTGTCACTGGTGCCCCATAACCACCACAGCTTGTTAGCTGGTCAGGAGTGAGGGCTGTCCTTGTGGAGGCTGGAAGCTGCTGCCTAGCCATGGTCCTTGTGGGCAAATCTAAGATCCAGTGTTTGGAGCTTCATCTAGGTTCTTTGAAACAAGGTGGTACAAGGTGTTTTGGTTTTGTTGTTGTTGTTGTTGTTTTAATGTATTTGGTACAGGGCCTCCCTTCCCAGCTCGGATTTGGACTCCTAGTGATCCCCCTGATCTCAGCCTCCCCAGCGCTGGGATTGCATGTATGTGCCACCATGCCCAGTCTCGGTGGCCAGCTCAGCATGCCCCAGGGTGGGGCCAGCATGGCATGTGGTGCTAGGGATTGAACTCCAGTCCCTGAGTTTCCTTAAGCAAGCACTCATCCACTGAGCTATCTTGCAGGCCCAAGGTGTTCACTTAAAATATTAGAAAAAGTCAATTTATCCTTTTTTTTTTTTTTTTTTGGTGGAACCGGGGATTGAACTCAGGCCTTTGCACTTGTCAGGGAGGCACTTATTCCACTGAGCCATCTCCCCGGCCCAGTTTATCCTTTTTGATGAGTTGTGGGCTTCTGAGAAAGCAGGAAGTAGCAGTATGTCTTGCTGGCTGATTGGGTATCATATCCCAGGATTATATGGGTGCTTTTGATCACCTTAGGCACTTTTTGACATGAACAGTAGTGATTATGTAACAGCAAACACCAGATATAAAACAAAATTAGAGTCAGCAGAGGTCATTAGAATTCCAGCATGCATGAGGCCCTGCCCATTAGCTCAGGTGTTTAAGTGCCTGCTGAAACAAAGCAGTCAGGCTCAGGATGCTGTGGTTCGATCCTCTCATCCTCAAGCCAAACCAGACCTGCCCTGTGGGCATCCTAAGTGGAGCCCCCCCCAAAAAAAAAGAATTCCAGTATGCAAAAAGTTCTTCCTGTTCATTAATTTTCCAGATATTTTGTGTTCTTAAAGAAGTATCATTCCCATGGAACTCAAATCACTTAAAATATGTAACAGTATGCTTTCAAAACTAGCTATCAGGGCGGGAGATAGAGCTCAGCAACATAAGTGCCTGCTGGCAAACACAAGGTCCTGAGTTCTATCCCCTGGTACTACATAAAATAAAACTAGCTGTCAATGAGTATGCTAAGCAAATTGAGTGCTGCTATTTTTGTAAAGCTGTCCACATGAGTAAATAATATCATGAGAGAGGAAATGAGGGTGTCATGATAGTTCAGAGGAAGCTTCTTACCCAGGATGGCCACTGCCAGGTTCCTCTGTGGGGTGGCCTCTCCAGCAGATGTCAGAGGTTGAGTGCGGGTCCTGCCAGTGCTGGGAAACTACAGCCAGCTGTGATTCCAGCTGTTCAAAGTCTGCAGTGTGCGAAGGGGGCAGCCACGACTAGCCGAGAGACCCGGAGGAAAGACTTTACCTCCAGCGTGGTGTGGGCCAGCCCGATGCCTGCTGGCCTCCAAGACTATGTGCTCCCTCCCGTCCTGTAAGTGTGGAACCCGGCCTCCCTCATATGGACAACAGAGACAAAAACAATGGCAGCTTACCCCCACCCCCACCATGATGCCTTCCGGGACACTGTGCACACTCATGGCTTTGGCCAAGCAAGCCCATGGGCCACACTAAGGAGGACACCCCACGGCAGACACCTACCAGCAGTTTTGGGAGGCTGACAGCAGTCCCCCGTCAGAGATGACAGGACGGCCTGCTACTGGGAAGGGCAGCCCTCAGGTGGCAGAGGAGGGCGCCTGGGGGACGCCCTCTGGGAGGAAGGGTTGTTCTCTGGGTCAGGTATCCTCCACGACGCCTTGGGGGATAGACCGAAGTAGGGGCGGTCGGGGCCAGACACCTTCCTGGACGACCCGTTAAGGCTGGCTTGGGACTCCTTGGGGTGTGCACCCAGAGGGAACGGCCACACCCCCGGCGGCCCCAGGAGGGGGCGGGAGCGGAGCGCCGGCACCCCCCAGGTCGGTGGGCGGAGCGCCGGGCAGCCCCCCCAGGTCGGTGGGCGGAGCATCTGGCAGCCCCTCCCCGTCGGTGGGCGGAGCGCCGGCACCCCCGTCGGGTGGGCGGGGCCTGATGCGGCCCGTGCCAGGTGGGCGGGGCCATGAGGCCCCGCCCCCCCGCTTCCTCCGGTTTCGCTTTCGCTTCCGCTGGGAGCGGTGTCGCCGCTTCCCGAGCATGGACGACCCTGACTGCGACTCCACTTGGGAGGAGGACGAGGACGCGGAGGACGGCGAGGATGGCGAGGAGGCCGGCGCGGGCGAGGCGGGCGACGCGGACGCCGGCGACGAGGACGTGGGCGCCGAGGACGAGGGCGCGGAGGAGCCGCAGGCGGCCTGGCCCGGCTCACTCCAGGTGCGGCGCGGCGCGGCGAGCAGGCCCTGGCCGAGGCGGAACCGGGCCCGGGCGGCCCTGGCCGCAGGGGCCGAGGTCCTGCGTGGCTGACGTCGGGCCAGCGCCCCGGAGGGCCGCGCTCGTGCGTGGGTGGCAGCTCTTCAGGGTGCCTGAGCGCGGCGCTCGCTTCTCTTTGTCACATCCCTCGGCCAGCCCCGGTGGCCGTCATCAAGTGGAGCCCGCCTCTGGGCCCCGTTTCGCCGGCTCCTGCCGGTTACCTCCCACCTGGGGGGGCTAGCGGGGTCACCCTGCCTGCTCCTGCCCTCCGGCCCCCTCGGCCTGCCCGGCACAGGGTGCAGCACCCACCGGCTGAGGCAAGACGAGCTTGGGGGCATCCTGAACGGGGCCTGGGAAGCGTCTCTCGGGTGGCCTGCCGGGGCTCGCTGCCTGGTGGCAGCCTGTGGTGACTTCGGTTGTGCCGGTGTGTGCTCTTGGAGTATGCGTTCCGGGATGGATTCCTCCCGGCAGGGTCTGCTCGCTTTCGATTTATCTCCTTGTTCTGGAGTGGTCAGTGGAGTGCGCAGAGCGCATGAGGGGCTCCTGGGCCTACCCGAAAGGCCCGCACTGCCCTGTGCCCCCGGCACACCTGCAGTGCTGCAGGCAGCCAGGAGCTGCGGGATGGGCCTCAGGCCAGGTGGGGCCAGGCCCCAGGCAGGCTCAGGCTCTGGCTGTGCCCTCCACGTGGCTGTGATGTGAGATGTCTGGCCCTGCAAGGTGCCTGTGACCTCTGGTCCTTTCCCTCTGCCTCCTGCCTTCAGTCCTACCAGGAGGCCCCAAGCCCTGCCCCTGTCACACCCCCTCCTGCCGTGCATGCAGTCCTGAAGAGGTCTCAAGTAGGTGCCTGCACCTGACCCTGCTTCCTGGCTGCGATGCCTGGCGGCTGCTGCTGACCATACCCAACCTAGGGAGAAGTGGGAGTCCAAAGCGGGTTCTCCAGTCTAGCTTTCCTTCTAGCTGCCTCACCTGGACAAGAGCACCTTTTCACTGGCCCTGGTTTAGAAACCAGAAAGAGACAGCTCCAGACCCTAATTAGAGCCCCATCTAGTTAGGGCTTGGGGGCAGGAAGGTGCTCAGAGCTCAGATGAGGGGCTTCCCTCCTGCCCCTCCTGGGGCTCCCTGGACAGGCTGAGCTGTTTGCTGCCTGGCCCTTTGTGCTCCAGCCACTGTGGGCATAGCCATCCTGCGGAGCTGGGTCAGAACTGAGTTTTTATCATTCTTGTCACCAGTCACCTGGGATCCTGCCCTGGATCTCCAGAGGCTTCAGTTGCTAAGTGGGGGCAGCACAGAGCCCCTGACCTTGCAGAGGAGCTGTCCTCTGACAGGACAGGACAGGGCTGAAAGCTGGGTGGCTGGGGAAGAGGCCAGCTTCTCCACCTCTGGTTGAGGGTTAGGTGGGGAGTCAGACCCAGCTGGAGCTGCTAGGTCTTCTGAAGCTGTAAGTGGCGGTGTGGCTGCCCGTGGGGACACAACCTGGTGACAAGTTAGAGCACAGTGTAAAAGTACTGTGGGCTCAGTGGATCCTGGGGAGATGTAATGGGCTGTGACCAGATGAGAGTGGCGCACAAACCCAGCAGAGGAGGCAGAGCTGGGGCTTGGGGACATGAGAGTGCCAGTGGGGCTGTAGAAGTACAGAGTATGAAGTACCTGTCTCAGTCTGGGCCCTGCTGCCTCAGAGCAGAAACCTTGAATCCTGAGGACAGTGGGAGTCGGGCAGGCTGCAGCCTTGGCTGCCAGCTTCTGTTAGGCTTTAGGGGACTTCACCAGGGTCCAGATGTGTCCACTGGGAAACACCGACAGAAGCCAAGCTGGAGGGGCTGGAGAGGACCATGAAAGAAAGCTCACTGATAGCTGACCCCAGCTTCAATACTGGCCCATCACGGGTCTGCTGAGGGCCGGGGGGCGGGGGGGGTCTCCTACCGGAGCCTCACCCTGTCCTTCTCTTCCCAGTCCAGAATGACAGGAACCCGCAACTGGCGAGCCATGCAGGATATGCGCCGGTACCGGCACCACTACCCGGTAGGTACCCACTGCCCTCTGCTGCCCCCACACCCTGGAGACACGAAGACCCTCCTTTCAGGGTGGCTGCTATCCTACTGGAATCTCATCTTGGGTGGGGATTCTGAAGTGTCCTGTGTAGGGTCAGGTCCCTAACCGTCCCTTAATGCTATGGTGGATGATAAGAGTGCATTATTGTACCTCTGATCCCCTGGTCCCCAGCCTTTAAAGCCATGCCAGTGCTGGGGATATAGCTCAGTGGCACAGTGGCTGCCTCCCTGGAAGGCACAGGTCCTGAGTGCAGTTTTCCGTACAAAAAAACTCTAAAATCCATAGCAGCGCCAGCCTCTTGGCTCGGGTGTGCAGGTCTGGCGGAACACTCCCCATCAGAGTCCTACCACATGGGGTAGGGCTCTTGGGATGCGGTCCTCCTCAGAAGCTGTTCTCTATATCCATGCGTCCCAGCAGCCCTTGGGCTTGCTGTGAGGTGCAGAGCAAGGAAAGCCCCAGCCCGCACTGGTGGGGAGGTAGAGGTGACGCCACCCTCCATGCCTGGCCTTGCCTGCAGGGAGGAGCCCAAGCTGGGCTTCAGGGGCCTCCAGTCGGCCTCAGGAGACCCAAAGGTGCAGACACCTGTCCCAGGTGTGGGGTCTGGGAGGCTCTGGGAGATGAGCTCTGTAACCGTCTCCTCTGTCTGACTCTTCAGGACTTGGTGGAACGTGACTCCAATGGTGACATGCCCAACTTGAGTTTCTACAAAAATGAGATCCGCTTCCTGCCAAATGGTAAATGCAGAACCTGCGCCCTGAGCCGTGGGCGGTAACTTGGGACCTGATGCGGACGTCGGTAGCCTCACCATGCCCTCTGGAGGCAGCCGGGCACCAAAGTTTGGGGTAGGATTGGAGAACTAAGGGTCAGAGAGAATAGAGGAGGCTTTTCCATTCATGTCACCTCTGTCAAACTGCTGAACTCTGCTGCTGCCTCAGAAAAGCAATGTATGCAAATTGGTATGCTGCAATGGTTTTTGCATGGTTTAAAAATAATACTTTGTGACATAAAAATGATGTGAAATGAAAATTTCATTGCCAGTAAGGATGTTGGCACCTGCCCACACCACCCAGCTGTGCAGCCTCTTTCTTGCCATAACACGGTGGACAGACCTTGGGGCGCAGCTGGGAGCCTCGTAGGGCCTTTGCAGACACAGGGCCAACTTGCGTTCCACAGTTGAGTTTTGCTGCAGTTCTGTGCCGAGAGTTCCACAGCTAACACAAGGGCCCCTTTGGTAGCAATGAGGCTGAGTCTGGGACCCCCACCCAGGCATCGACAGAGCTTTGGTTTGCAGGTTGCAGAGGGGCCAAAGGCCTGGCACCCAAGGTGGTGCAGTGAAGGAGGCACAGATAACCGTGCTGGGCCCTAAGGAACTTGCGAGGTGAAATGGGGCGAGGGGGACTTTGGCCACACTGTCCCCAAGTCCTGTCAGGGTGACCTTTATGACTGACCGTGTGCCCATTGGCTGACAGGCTGTTTTGTTGAGGACATTCTGCAGAACTGGAAGGACAACTATGAGCTGCTGGAAGACAATCACTCCTACATCCAGTGGTGAGGGGCAGTGCGGGGCGGAGACTCGGGAGGGGCAGGGCCCTGGCCACTGCTGCCTCTGGCTGCTCCCTGGTATGCAGTGAGCACTTCATTCTTCCTGGAAGCCAGGGCCCACACTGCAGATGGTGCCTGCACCCCTGAGGGTGGGCATCACTGGGCACTGCAGGGTCTGTCCAGAAAAGACTCAGGCCTGTCCCAGATCACACTGGGAAGCAGAAGGGAGGCCTGCACAGGAGCCCATGGGGAGGTTGGGCCAGGCCTGTGCCTCAGAGCAGGCCCTCGGAGCCCCCAGGGAAGCTGGCGCTAGACAGTGCCTAACCTAGGGTTGGTGGAGTTTTTAGCTAAGCTTCAGTGAGACACCCCACCAACCTGGGAGGTCGTGATCTGGCCCCAGAAGAGCTGTGTGCCTGGCTTCGAGCACAGCCTGCTGGGCAGCTCACAGGGAACCTGTGGCATGGAGTACATCATGGGACTGACTACACACCCATGGCCTGAGAGAAGAGGAGCAGAAGGTGGAGAGAGCCCTAAGCTGAGGCAGCGAGTCAGCAGCTGAGCGTGTAGGCCGGGCTCCAGTGGGCCACGCTCCTCCATCCTGACCCCCGACTCCCACCCACAGCTTGTAGCCTGTAGCCCTAGGGTGGGCAGGGAGCTACGCACAGCCTCCTGCTCCTAAAGGGATTGGCCTTCGTGTCTACACAGGCTCTTTCCTCTGCGGGAGCCAGGAGTGAACTGGCATGCCAAGCCGCTCACACTCCAGGAGGTTGAGGTGAGTCCCCGCTTGGGCAAGGCTGTGGGCGTAGATCAGACAAAGCAGCCCTCCCTGTGCCCCCTCCCGTGCCACGTCCAGTGCCACCTTGGGCTGCCAGGATGGGGGTATCGGGACAGGAGCCTAAGATGTGGGGCTCTTCCCTCTAAAGTGACCCCCACCCCACGGTGTCCCTGCTGGCATCTAGAAATCTGCCTGAGGCTGGACGTCGTGTGGGGAGCTGGAGGGGCTTGGGCAGAGAGCAGCACCCTGTGGTGGGTAGAGGAGGTTCACAGGACAGACCGCCCTGCCTGGCTCGGGGAGTTCAGCTGTGGGACTGTAGCAGCTCAGAGGAAAGCAGGAGGGTTCTTCATGTGTCTTTTGTCATTTTGTTCTCTGCGCCTGAACCAGGATCTGAGGGAGGCGTCAGCTGGCCCGGTGTCCGTGGCCACCCTGACGTGCTCAGGAGCAGTAGTTCGGGAACAGCTGCTGGAGCTCTGCTAGTGGGTGTTTTCCAGGCTTTCAGAAGCTCCAAGGAAGTCAGGGAGCGGCTCATCCGGGCCTACGAGCTCATGCTTGGCTTCTATGGCATCCAGCTGGAGGACCGGGACACGGGTGCTGTGTGCCGGGCGCAGAACTACCACAAGCGCTTCCAGAACCTGAACTGGTAAGGACGGCTCTGCCCAGGGCCTCGGCGGTGCTGTCTTCAGGAAGGTGTGCAGGCCGGCTGGGGCCCCAGCACTGAGCGCCTGCTGCAGGCCTACCAAGGGGCACAGTGCCTGCCTGGTTGGGCTGCGAGGATTTGAAGGGAGTTCCTTGTCTTGGAGGGGTCGGTGCTGCAGGGACGCCCCCCTGCACGCCCTGGCCAGGATGTTGGGATCTCCCCAGCCCCTGCCAGCCAGCACCTCACCAGCTAGGGGTTCTCTGGCTTGCAGGCAGCTCCTCTCAGACAATGCGCCCCACTCATAGCTTCAGGTGAGTCCTGCACCCCAGGACTCGGGAACATCTAGAGGCTCAGCGATGGTGGGCTATGGCTGAACTTGCACCCAAAGCCTTGATTCACCCCAGTGTCATCCACAGGCGCAGCCACAACAACCTGCGCATCACACGCATCCTCAAGTCACTGGGTGAGCTGGGCCTGGAGCACTACCAGGCACCCCTGGCACGCTTCTTCCTCGAGGAGACCCTGGTGCGGCGTGAGCTGCCAGGCGTGCGCCAGAGTGCCCTGGACTACTTCCTGTTTGCCGTGCGCTGCCGGCACCAGCGCCGAGAGCTTGTGCACTTCGCCTGGCAGCACTTCGAGCCCCGCTGCAAGTTTGTGTGGGGGCCCCGCGACAAGTTGCTCAAGTTCAAGCCCCGAACTATAGCCCAGCCCCTGGCTGGCCCCAGGCAGGTAGAGGACACCCTCCAGGATGCCAGCCCCCAGAGTCAGGCCTGCAGGCCAGAGAAAGACCAGGGAGAGGACACTATGTCAGCCGATGGTCCCCAGGCGCTGAGTGAAAAGCTTCAGGACCCAGGAAACCTGGAGGGGGACCAGGAGGACCCAGCCAACCCCCCTAGCCCCAAAGAGAGCAAGAAGAGGAAGTTGGAGGCCAACCGGCGGGAGCAGGCTTCCGGGGACCTGGGCCCCCAGGGTGCGTCTGAGGTGGAGAAGATAGCCCTCAACTTGGAGGGCTGTGCCCTGAGCCAGGGCTCTCAAGACACTGGGCAGGCTGAGCAGCCCTGCCCCCAGCCCCCTGCAGCCAAGGTGGCAGAGGAGGTGAGGAAGCGGAGGAAGGTGGAGGATGCTGCTGGGGGTGAAAGGGGGGCTGCTGTACCGGAGCATCCTGGGGCCCAGAGCTGTGGGGGTGGGGGTGGGGCTGAGGGGGACCCAGAAAGCCAGGCAGCACTGGAGCAGGGTACTCCTGGGAGTCCACCACACAGGCCTGAGCCTGCCTCCACCGGAGCCTCAGAGGACGAGGCAGAAGGGGCGGCTCCAGCATGGCTCTCTGTCAGCCCTGGAAAGCCTTAAAGGCCTCGCCAGCCATCTTGGCCCTGCCCAGGCCCCGTGCAGGGCCTGGGACCCAGTGCCCTGTTGCTGGTTCCTGTTGGTGCCCAGCAGCGCTGACCTCTCCCTGGTGGTCGCCACAGGAGCCACCAGAAGGGCCGAGGCCCTGCCCTCAGGGAAGGCCAAGGCCTTGGAGCCTCCTTACCTCAGGGCACCCCACCCAGCTCCCCCGCTGAGCCCATGTTTGTAAGTATGGGGGAGGCCTCAGCAGGGGTCCATTTTCTTTGGTGCCAAGCAAGGCATTTTCTGAATAAATTCACTTGATTTTGAGGCGCTAGTGTGGGGCCTGAGGCTCTGTGCTCCATGGAATTGTTTTGTTTTTTTAATTTTATTTATTTGTGTGTGTGTGTGTGTGTGTGTGGCCAGCTCAGCCCACCAGGGGGCGGGGCTGGCTGGCATGTGGTGCTGGGGGATTGAACCACGGTCCTTGTGCTTTGCTAAGCTTGTTCTAAGTAGGTGCTTTAGACCACTGAGCCATCTCACGAGCCCTGGAATTGGTTTTGTAACACGTCCTTCTGGGCCTTCTGCTCCCCGCAAGGTCCAGATGGCCCAGCCCAGTGCCTGTCGGGTACAGCAGCAGCACAGCCTTCCCGCACAGGTCCCCAGGTGCGGGCACTGCCCCAGCCAGCCTTGTCCCAGCCTACCATGTCCTGTCCTCAGGGTCTCCCTGAGCCCAGGTCAGCCTTGCCTCCTGTCCAGTCAGCCTGGGGACTGCCGCATGCAGGGGTCTGAGGTGCTGCAGATAGACCTGGGGCCTGATGACCCCTGGCTCTGCCTCCTTGCACCCACCCCTCCTCCCTTGTGCCATCTCCCCAGGGCTCTTGGCCCTGTGGGCTCAGGCCTCCTCCCTGCAGCCAGCACCCTTGCTCCCCACATCGGTAGGCTCAGGCCAGTTGGGGGGCCAACTCAGCTCCCCTGAGGGACCATAAATGCCTTTGGGCAGAGTGGTGGAGGTTGAACACAGCTGGCCCAGCAGTGGGGTTTTCAGCACAGAGGGGAGACAGGCGCTGAATGGTGTAGGGCATCACTTCAGTGGGTCGCTCTGACTGCAGGTGCCCAAGGAATCTTCCCACCTCTGAGAGGGGGTGGCCCACCTGCCCATAGGCTTTGAGAAGAGCAGTGTTCCCAGACAGGAGAAACCAGCTGAGGTGGGTACCAGAGCTGGGTTCTGGCAGGTGGGTGAGGCTAGCACACTCCCTGCTCCAGCCAGCAAGGGCTGAGCAGAGGTGGGAGTGGCCTTGTGACAGGGCCAGAGTCCAAGCTGGGGAGGCCGTGCGGGCCCTGTGCGCTGGACCACAGCCCTCACCTGACGTGAAGGCTGCCGTGCTTCCCGAGCTCCCCATGGGTGCCCTGCCTGGCTGCACCCTAAGGAAGCTGGAGCAGGAGCAAGGGCGCCACCCCGGCTTTCTCAGGAACAGGACCTTGTTCCCAAGGCTGGGATTAAAGGGAGTGCTCTGAGGCCCTCATCCCACCCCTGCAGTCTGAGCGGACCCCACCCTTGTCATGTGACCTCTGAAGAAGCTAGTCCTAGATGTCTGGGACTCTGCAGGCCTGACCAAACACCACCCACTCTCACACACCTGAGGCAGTCTCCAGGATGTGAGGGACCCAGAACAGCTGACTGCCTTTCCTGGCGGAGGACTCTTGCCAGTTAACCATCCTGGGCAGAGGTAGAGTGATACCTTCCCATTCTGTCTACTTCCTCATCAATTCCCACCATTTTGGAAGTCAGTTCTGTCTTGAGATTAGCAGCCCCAGCCACAGGTTGCAAACCCTAATATAGCATTTCTTTGAATGCCGAAGAGGCGCAGAGGCAGCCAGGCCCCTGCCAGTGTGGTGAACCCTATAAGCCATTTAGTCCTTGAGCAGTGCCTGGGCACTGTCACCGTGGGGTCTTGCCACACAGCCCTAAGTTTCCTGTTCAGCCTGTAACTCCAGCTCTCGGGAGATTGTGACAAAAGGATTATGACTTCAAGTCCAGCCAGAATGACGTATCCAGACTCCTCAAACCCCACTACCTCAGAAAGAGTCCTGTCCATGAGAGGGTTCCTCCTGCCCAGGACCCTGCTGCTGCACCCCTCTTGCCCACGGTCACTGTTTTGCCCCATTGGAGAACAGCAGTCAGACAAGAGTGGCTTTCTCAGGTGGCTGCCCCAGACAGGCCCCTCAGGACAGCCCAGGCTTAGGGCAGGGGCCCTGGGGCTCTTGGTCTGCAGTCCTGGGGCTTCCCTGTCTCAAGACATGGCTGTCAGGTGCCCTCTGCCCACAAGTAGGTCCTCATTGCCTTGGGCAGCCTGAGGGCTCCTTGCCCCCTTCTTTTCTTTCCAGTTTCAACAGATTTTATTTACTCATCCCCTAAGAGCAAAATCCAGAAAATAGCAACCCACTGCACGAACAGTGCTTAACACCCTCAGCCGCCCTCCCCTCCTCCCACGAGGTCTGCTCTCCTGCCACACACCGCTGGGTCAGGCTGCCACAGGACGAGCCGTGGTGACAGGCAGGTGGCATCTGTGCACACGCCGTCAGGTGCCTCGCCCGGGCAGGAAGGGAAGAAGTTTCTGCAGATGGCCCCCTTTCACAGAAATTTATCACAAAAAAAAAAAAGTTTCAGCAAATGTAACCCTTTGAACTTTAGGTATCTACTAGAAAGGTACAGATTTGAACAGTTCTCCCCTCCAGCTGTGACCAAAGCTCTGAATGTTACAGGACACACAAGTTCCTCTGAGCCATCCGGGGCTACACACTTAGATGTTTACAGAGGAAGGTGCGTTTGAAGTTCCTCAGAAGAGAGGTCCAACGAGACAGCTACCAAAGTTGACGGTCACTATAACAGCAAGGCTGGTCAAGCCCTGCAGAGATCCCACAAGATCAGAGTCCCCAAAGCAGAACGGCACCCAGGAGAGCCAGCCCGCAGCACAGGGGCTGAGGTGTGTGAACAGAGTGGAGTGCTGGAGAGAGTGAAGCGCCTCAGCCGCGCCTGCCGCTTCCCCTTAAGGGCCAGTGGCGCGGCACCTCAGGCCCGGGCTGTTAGCACACCACCATGTGTTATGGCGCTGCTGAGGGAGACGTGACTGATGGCTGGCACCCGGCTCCCTGTGCTGAGTGGGGGGCTCCAGCCTTAGCTCCTCAGAGAGCGCCAAGGCCGAGAAGACACTGCGGGATTCCTCACCAGGTGGGAGGTCTTCCAAGACTCCTTCAGGGAAAGGTTTTAGGGCTTTCTCTTCAGGGTCAGCTGGAAGAACACCATATTACCTGTCCTTTCGGGCCGCCCACCTGCCAATCCTTTTCTCCACTGGCTGATGGAGAGAGGTACGGTAACTACTCTGAGAATCTCATGGAAGTTTCTGCCATTGAAGTTGGCTAGAGATGGAGAGCTTCAGTTTCTTGTCAGGACCAAAAGCAAGTCCCACGCAGCTGTCACCCATGTCCCTCCCCTCTGTGCTGGGTTCTGGGTGCCCAAGAGGACGCGCCCCAACCCTCATCCTCTGTGACAGGGCGGTAGCTCCCATGAGCGCCGATGCGCTTGCTGCAGGCAGGGTGGGCCTCGTCTACCGAAAGGGCAACCGATCCTCCGGGCCGACGCTGGTGCTAGCTTCGCTGCTCGGCCAAGCTCGGGGTGCACACAGGGAAAAGCCCCGAGAGCGGGCGAAGCGGTGCCCCGTGTTTCTCCCGGAAGGTCACGGAAGCCGACGCTGCGAGGCGGCCTTGGCCTCAAGGTCGGCAGCGGCGGCACGAGGACACCCGGAAGGCCCGGCAGAGGAGCCAGCACCTCGCCGCCCTTCACTGAGGGTTCTCCCCGTCACAGTCGGCCGAGAAGAAGGGAGAAAGGAGTCTTTCTTGCTCCCTGAGAGGTGTGTGTGCACAAGGCGCGCCAGTCCCAGGACGGTTTTCGCGCACAGGCGGGCCAGCCTGGCTGCTTTCCTCGCGGCCCGCCCCCAGGTGGGCCCGGCTGAATGGGGGGCTTGTGCGCGCGGGGCGGGGCGGCCGGATGCCCGGCCCGCGCACCGCCCACCGCCCGCCGCCCGCCGGGCCGCCGGCGCCGGTGCCCTCATTGCCCGCCAGCCATGTCCCGAGCGCCCACCCTGGCCCTGCTCCTGCTCCTGCTGGGGCAGCTGCTGGCGGCCACCGCGGCACAGGTGAGCGCGGCCCCGCGGGCGAAGGGTCCGGGTGAGGGGCGAGCCCAGCCCCCAGCCCGCCGTGCACCCTCGGGGCTCTGGGGGGCGCCGGGGGGCTCCGCCGCTGGGCAAGTCCCCACGGACGACGCCTGGACGCCTTGCGGAGGGCGATCCCTACCTCACCCGGCCCCTGCCGCGCAGCCTGGACACACAATGTCGCCTTTGTTCCCGGGGCTCCCCGCGGGGCCACAGCACCGCCGGTCCCGCCAGAGCGAGGAGCATCGCACTCCATGGGTGCCGGCTCCCAGGATGGAGGCTCAGGCCGGTCCGAGGCAGGCGGAGCCAAGATGCCTGGGAACCGAGGGGGTGCAGAAGGCCTTTCTAATGACTCTTCTCCATTTCAGAAAGTGGGGCTTCCCGGGCCCCCAGGTCCCCAAGGCCCACCTGGGAAGCCAGGCAAGGACGGCATTGATGTGAGTTGGGGCGCGGCTACTCCAGGGGTTCCAGACCTGGTGGGAGCCTCCCTGAACCAAGCCCAGGACAGCAGTCGAGGGTGCCAGGGTGGGGTGAGAGGACAGAGGCCCCTTTTTCCTGCTGGGGCAGAGGCAGGATAGTCCTCGGGCCTGAATGTGGGTCTGCAGGAGTGTCTCCAGCCTGTGCTCTTGGATGTGGGCCATGTCCCTGGGGTGGGTGGGGGCGGGGGCCTTGGGGGAGCTCCAGGGCTGGAGCATTGGGGCATGGTGAAGTCTAGCTCTGTCCAAGGGTGTGCCTTTCACAGGTGTCACGGGCAGGTAGTGCCCACTCTGAGGGGCTGCCTGTGCCTCCCCAGAGAGGTGGTGTGGGTGTGGGCCTCACTCATCCTACCTCTCCATAAAGGGCAACTCGCCCTCCAGGGCCAGCCCATGTTTGCAGTGTTGGCCCACGGCCCTGTCCAACTTCCCAAGTCCCCAGGGAACCTAGCCCTGGTGGCCGTGGCAGGCTGGTGCTGAGGGTCAGGTTGGAGCCTGGGCCAGGTGGCCTGCGCCAGAACTCTTTCTGTCCCTCTCCCTAGGGCTGGGTGTCTGAGGCTCTGGACACCCCTTAAGCCCAGGCCTAAAGTCCCATTAAAAGTTTTAACATGTTGCTGAGTGTCCAGAAACCGAGGGCTACGGGCAGCCCTTGGAGAGGGGGCTGGCTGCTGCCCCCAGCAGAGGGCGCCCGAGCCCTCAGTGTGCTGAGGCCTGCCTTCCAAAGCTCTTGGCCCAGGGCTCTAGGACTCTGAGGCCTGGACTGTGTGGCATGTTCTGGGGGAGGGGAAGGAGGTGCTGTGCACTCCCGTGCTCAGAGGGGTCAGATGCTGCGTGGCCCTGAAGAGGGCTGAGCCCTTCTGTCCAGATCCTTTTCGTCAGTGCTGAACTGTAGAGGGCAGGAGCCCCTGCATGTGGACATGGGAGCCCCAGGGAGCTTCCATGGGCTGGGTCTTCGGGATACAAGCCGAGGCCACCCCTACTCTGTTTCCCTGAGGTGGGCTTCCAAGCCACATATGACATCTTCTCTCTGCAGGGAGAAGCTGGTCCTCCGGGCCTGCCTGGGACCCCGGTGAGTGTCCTGGGCTTGGGGAGGGAACAGTCTATTTTCCAGTCTGGAGCGGGTAGGCAGAGGGAACAGAAGGTCCTTGATGTCCTGTCTCCCATGCTGAGCCTGTGTCGCCCTAGATGAGGCCTCTGAGGTTTCCGGTAGGGTTTGGAGCCAGAAAGGGGCAGGAGGGATGTGTGTGAGATTCAGTGTCTCTTGGTAGGGTCTGGCTGGGAACTGTTTGGGTCAGTGCCAGGGCAGGCTGTGGAAGGGACAATAGCCCTGCAGTCCACCTCAGCGGGAGCGGCCAGGTGCCTCAGCTTGTGTAGCTCCAGGGATCCAGGGCCGTAGCCCACTGCAGTACTGCACAGGGACCTGCCCACCCTTGGCTGGGGATATTGAATTGACCCCAAGGACTGGAGAGGGGCAGTCTTTCTGTGCCACTGAGGGCTGGGCCTCCTGGAAAGGGATCCTCTGGGGGCGGAGTCCTGCACAGAAGAACTGTACGCCCATCCTTCACACCTTTCCTCCTCCACACAGGGATCAAAAGGGGCCCCAGGGAAACCAGGGAAGCCTGGAGAGGCAGGGCTGCCAGGACTTCCGGGTGTAGACGTGAGTGTTCCAGCCCCTCCCCCTGCCTGGCCCCTGCCCCTGCCCCTGCCCCTGCCCTGCCCTTCTCCTTCCCCTGCCTCTGCCCTGCCCTGCCCTGGAGGGGGGCAAGTTGTAATTGCTCTTCCCCTGCTGGGCCTGCTTAGGAAGAAAAAGCAGCCCTGGCAGAAGCCCCCAGCAGGGGTCCCTGGCCCTCCCCCCAGGCCCTGTGACATCTGGCAGGAGACAGCCAGCCTGCAGCAATCATAGCAGTTGCAGCCGCCAGCTTTGGCTGAGCTGGGAACAAACACCCATTGTTGGGTTCCTCTGCCCCAGGATGGCCTGGCCTAGGGCCTCCAACCACTCCCCCACCCCCGCTGGCCCTGGTGGTCTGAGAAGTAAACCTCCAGGGCTGCAGGTCTGGTCCCCATGGGGCCTGCCACTGGCTTCCTACTGGCTGTCCCCACTTCACCCTGGCACCCTGAGGGCAGCGGGTGGACAAGGCCAGACCCCAGGATCCTCTGCTTCTCCACTCATCTGACTGAAGGACAAATTCATGGCTCACTTTTGCCCTTGGCGGGCACATGCCCCCCCCTCTCCTCCCCAGGGTCTGACTGGGCGGGATGGACCTCCTGGACCCAAAGGTGCCCCTGGAGAGCGGGTAGGTGCCTGTCCCCATGTCCTGCAGTCATGGTTAGGCTGCGAAGTGCTCTGGCAGGGGGTGCCAAGACGGTGTTCTGTGTGCGCCCTCAGGGTCACTGCAAGTGAGGGTTGTAGGGTGGCCCTCATTGCAGGGCACAGCTGAGGTGGCTCTGGGGGTCCTCGTTGCCCACGTCTTCATTCTGGCATCTAGACAGTGGCAGGGAGGGCTGGAGTGGGCAGGGGTAGTCCCTCCTTGCCCCTCAGGTGACTGCCATGAGGATCCCCTGAGCCTGTCACAAGCCGGCGCTTCCCGGATGACTGCGGGCTTTCTCCTCACCTGAGGACACTTTCCCAGAGAGCCCAGTAATGCAGTAGCACAAGCAGGGACTGGGTGGCCTGGCTGATGCTGAGGCCTCAGCACCCTGTGGGCTTTTCTTGGGGCTCCTCAGGGAGCCCCTTGAGGGTCAGCTCTGTGTGGTCGGCCTGGCCCTGGTGTCAGGCCCTGCTTGGGGCTGTCTGCTCAGGTGACCAGTGGTGGGTCCTGTCTCAGCCTCTGCCTCTCTCCTCTGTAAATGGGGCCCCTGCACACGCTCCCTCTGCAGAGGACTATGGGATTGGACGGGATGGGATGAGTGTGGAGGCAGCGATGAGGCTCCCGGCCCTGGGCCCCTCTGACACCTGCTTTCTTCCCCAGGGTAGTCTGGGACCTGCAGGGCCACCTGGGCTGGGGGTGAGTACTCCCTGGGGTCCAAGGAGCCCGTGGGTTTGCCACAGCAGGCTGACCACCAGGAGCCCAGCTGTGTCCCCCTAACTCTCCTGGCTTCTGTCAGGGCTGTACACTCTGGGGGCTCCCTTCCACAATTCACCTGAACTGTCTTGGGGCAGCAAGGCAGACCCCACCCATACCCTGACTACAGCTTGGTTTTGCAGGGCAAAGGCCTCCCTGGACCTCCCGTGAGTATAAACCTTGCCCTGTGTACCCCACCCAAGGGGGCACGCTCCTAAATCTGCCTCCTCGCAAAAAGCTAGCTTATGCTGTGGTGTCCTGGACCCTGGCGGGTGGGGCTTCTTAGGGCACAGCCGGACTACAGCAGGCCCAGAGCCTTGCCCTGCCGGGGGACATGTTGGCCCTAGGGCCCCTCCTCAGGGTCTGCAGGGCTCCTTGGGTTCCGACACCTCACTCAGTCTTTCCCTCCCCTAGGGAGAGGCAGGTGTGAGCGGCCTCCCAGGTGGGATTGGCCTCCGTGGTCCCCCGGTGAGTGGCCCCTCATGGAATAGCACCCTCAGCTACTGTCTGGTCTCCAGACTCTGCCAAGCTCTCCCCTCCCCTGTCCTTTGTGGGCACTGACAGACCAAGGTCACCAGATGGGCAGATGGAAGCCAGCACTGCCTTGTCCAGGGAGCAGGAGGGAACTGCGAGTCCTCAACCTCGTGGAGCTGGGCCTCTCGCTCGGGAGGGGCTGGCCCTGCTCTCAGTCTTCCTCTTCCCTCAGGGACCCTCTGGACTTCCAGGACTACCTGGGCCACCAGGACCTCCAGGACCTCCTGTGAGTACAGGGTGGGCGCTCTGGGTGGCCAAGCACTGGACTGGGAGCCCCTCCGCTCCCTAGAGGATGCAGGGCCCTTCCCTGGGAGTAGGCAGGACTCAGAACTGAGGCCAGAGTAGGCCCACCTCTCTGTCATTGTTACCTGCCCTGGTGATGGACCAGCAGTGCCTCCATGGGCCACATTTGGATCCCAAGTACCCAGGGTACAGGGGCGCCGTGGTCAGAATGGGCGGGAGGCAGGTGGGTTCATGATCTCTCTCTGTGTTCCAGGGACAGCCCGGGGTCCTCCCTGAAGGCACTACTGACCTGCAGGTGGGCATTGGAGACCTCTGTGAAGGGGGCGGGGCCTCCCAGAGGGGACCCTGCCCGAGGCAGCCTCACCCCTGGGAGGGCCCTGCTCCCCACCCACCCACCCCCATCAGGAAGGTGGGGCCAGGAAGGCGCTCCGTGGGGACAGGGCCAGAGCAGGTGGCTTGGGGCGCCATCTGCTCCTGCCTTCCACCTGCCCTGCTATGGTGTGCACCTTGCGGCACTTAGGACCATATGGGACATGAGTTTAGGTTGTGACAGTCATAACAGGTATTTGGCCGGCAGTCGCTGCACTGTAGGGTGCAGACAGGCATTCCCTTCACCTCCGAAGTTTCTGGACTTCCCTCTCATCTTGACCATTGGGCCTTGTCAGTCCTGTAAAGAAGAAAAACAGGCCTGCTTCTGCTCCTCCCAGCCGTTCATGGCATCAGGCAGCACGGTGTCTGCTGTGTTGTGCTTTGAGGGGAAGGCGCTGGCCCGCTCTGATCAGCAGCAGCCCTGCGCACGCTGGCCTCTTGCTCTGCACTGCCCCAAGGTGCTGCCTGCAAGGGAAGCACAGGACACTTCGAGGGAGGACACTGGCTCTGGGGCTGGGCCGAGAGGGCAGAGGTCCCCTGCCTCTGAGTCCTGGCTGGCCTGCCGGGCTGTGGGCTCAGGTGGGGCATCGCAGCTGCCGCCTGGGCTCATGACAGTTTCCTACTGAAGCTGACCAACCGGGTGCTGGGTCTGAGATGAAGGCCCCTTTGTGGAGCCAGCAGCCATGTGTGAAAAGCGGCTTTGAAACCCCGGGTCGTGGGGGAGGGGCATCCAGCCATGCCTAGCTGAACAGCCCTCACTGCACCCAAGGGGCCCGGCCAGGGCTCGGCCCAGGCTCCTCTGCCCATGTGCAGGGGCCCTGCTCAGGGCCCCTCTGGTGCTGACTGGTACTCTGCTTTCCTCCAGTGCCCTGCCATCTGCCCTCCGGGCCCCCCTGGGCCCCCAGGAATGCCAGGGTTCAAGGTGAGTAGTGACATGTGGTGATACGGGCCTCCTAGTGGCTGGGCCCATGGGGCTCTGGGACCAGAGAGAGTGAAGGCCCAGGGGAGTCATGGGAGGCAGTGCTGTCCCCAGCCTGGCTGGGGCTGGGGTGCAAGAGCCAGTGGGGGCACAGGGAGAGTGGAGGCGCTGGCCCCTTGGCTCCCTGCCCTAGCATTGCCTGTCCGCTTTGGCTAAGGGCCTCAGTTTCCTGGTCTGGGCCCTGGGCTTTGGCCCCAAGCCCTGGAGTGCTACTGTAACTGGGCCTGGCTCGCAGGGCCTTAGACTAGTACTGCCAGGGGGATGCCGTGGTCTGCAGGGCTGGGCCCTTTTGCTTACAGGGGCCCACAGGCTACAAAGGAGAACAGGGAGAAGTTGGCAAGGATGGTGAGAAGGTAAGGCACCTCTGTGCAGGTCTGGGGCTGCTGACCCAGGAAGGGCGGCAGAGAGGAGTGGGGCAAGGGGCAGGCAGCTCGGCCTCACGGGCTGGCCCTGGCCGGGCACCTGCTGTGCTTGCTTCTCAGTGGGGCCTGGCTGGGCAGGGCTGGGGCGTCTGGGGCCCCCCACGTGCCAGCTCCCTGGTGTACTGGCACAACAAAGCGTCCATCCCTGCCTGTGTCTCTCTGGCCACGGCCCATGGGGGACATCTGGCCATCCTCGCAGCAGGCTGGGGGTGCTGTCCAGGATGCTCTCCGGCAAACAGCAGTGGGGCCCAGCACATGGGTACATGGGGCCCTCCTGTGGCCAGGAGGGTGGACCTATGCCTTAGGAAGAGCAGTAGGGTGGAGGCATGGTAACGCCAGCGTGAGCTGCCGACCACTTTCTTTGTTACAGGGCAAGCCTGGCCCACCTGGTCCTGCTGGTATTCCGGGCACTGTGGGGCTGCAGGTGAGGCCAGGGTGGGGCCAAGGTGGCAGGAGGGGAGCCCCATCGGTGGACACCCCGAGGGGATTGACCTAGGCTTTGGGGAGAATCAGACACCTGGCCAGATGCAGCCCAGGAGCCCTGAGCTTTGAGGAAAGAATCTGGGCTCCAGGGATTACAGTAGCTCCCCAGGTTGGGGTACAGCCCAGCCTCTGCATCTCCACTTCTCCCCACAGGGCCCTCGAGGACCAAAAGGACTGCCAGGGCCCCTGGGGCCCTCTGGGGACCGGGTAAGTCCTGCTGGCCTCTTGTGGAATGTGGGCTGCTGAGGTCAGCCCAGGGAGCTGGGGATCCCCCGTGAAAGCAGTTGGGACCAAGAATCCTCCGCAGCCAGCACCGCTGGGCCCGTCGTGTTCTGCTGGCTGTGGCTGGGCCCAGGCCTCTGGGTCTCTGCTCCTGAGAGGACCCCAAATGCCCTCTTTCTGCAGGGTCCCATTGGGTTCCGAGGGCCCCCTGGCATCCCAGGATCAGCCGGGAAAATGGTACGTGTATCTAGGTGGGAGGGAGCCCCTTGCAGGCCTCGGCCCCTGCCCCTCTTTCTGCTGTGTTGTCTAGACCCCTGGCCGGGAGCTGGCCTGCCCCAAGTTAGGTTGTGCTCTGGTCACATGCAGGGCGCTCAACACTCCTGGAGGGCCCATGGGAATCATGGGGACACCTGTGGACACCAGAGGGCAGGCTCACAGAAGGAGCCCAGCCTCTATGCTGGCTCCGCCCCTTTGTCATTCTGGGCACAAGGGCAGGTGTCATGACCCCTCTGGCCCTGTGACCTGCAGTAGCATCACACCAGCCACCACTCCCGAATTTCAGAGGGCTGGCCCCTGCCAGGCCATGCAGGGCCTCGAGCACCTTGGTCCCACTCACCCACTCTTTCCAGGTTGCTAACTCTGTTGTACACCCCTTTGTCATTTCTAGGGTGACAGAGGCGAGAGGGGCCCAGAGGGCTTCCGAGGGCCCAAGGGTGACCTTGTAAGTAAGAGTGATTCTCTGGGTGCTTCTGGGAAGAACTTGATCTTATTCCCAACTGTGTTTGGAGTTGGGGGGGACTTGAGGGTGCCCAGGCCAACCCCTGGGTGTGGAGCAAGCCACCAGACAAGCCACCAGACTAGTGGGGCCTGGGCAGGGGGCAGGGCAACATCTGCTGGGCCCCTACAGGGCATTTCACCCGTACCCTGGCTGTCAGCCATGCAATCCGATGAGGGCGGAAACAGCTCAGATGGGGCACAGAAGCGAAGTCATTGATCAAGCATCTCTTGAAATGGAGGGACCGTCCCAAAACCACCCCCTGGATCCCCAGCAGCAGGGTGCACAGTGACACCTCCCAGAACCCCCTTCTGGTGAGGTCTGGGCTGCAGGAAATGGGAACAGTGTGCAAGGGATCATGCCAATCCAACTGTGGCCGCTTCTGCCGCTTATGTCTTTAGGGTAGACCTGGTCCCAAAGGAATCCCTGGTGTGGCCGGGCCAGGTGGGGAGCCGGTGAGTACTGTCCTGTCACGGCACGTGTTGGGACAGCAGCTGTGGGTCAGGCCCCAGGCTCCTGTGGTGGTCATGCAGGGCAGCGGCTGCCTGAGTCTGCTCACCTGCGCTTCTGCCTCCAGCTGTCTTTCTCTGGGCCAGCTTCCCGTGTGTGTGGCTCGAAGTTCACTCTGATGGGCCATGCGTGTGCTCACACTTGGCCCCTCCCTTCTTAGCACGCGCACCCCCAGCACCCTAGTAGCTCTGCCTTTCCTGTGACCCCTACTCCCGCTCTGCCACCCCCGCATCCCTGCAGGAGCACTGCAGGTGCTGGGCCAGGCTTCCCTGAGCTCCAGGGCATGCGGGAAATAAAAGTGCTGGGGCACGACTGGCAGGCACAGGTGCAGGGTGTTCTGAGAGTCCTGGGCCCACCCATACCTCTGACCTGTGCATGGCCTCTCAGGGGCATAGGCCTGGGCCCCTCAGCAACGAAGCCACAGAAGCCCCTGGAGCTGGGGGCAGGAGGGACGGCTCCAGGGGAAGCAGGGGTGTGGAGGAAGAGTGAGGCGAAAAGCAGGGCTTTCTATTCAAGGGAACCATTCTTCACCCCCAGGGTATGCCAGGCAAGGATGGCCGGGATGGTGTGCCAGGACTCGATGGTGAGAAGGTTGGTGCCTGGCTAGCGGCCCGCTGGGAAGGGGCTGGGAGGGCTCAGCCTTCCAAGGCCTCAGCCTCTGTTCTCCCTGCCCTGCTCACTGTCATCACAGGGGGAGGCTGGTCGCAATGGAGCACCAGGAGAGAAGGGTCCCAATGGGCTGCCGGTGAGTACCCTGGCGGGTGCGACTTGACTGCCAAGCTGGCACTGCAGGCCCAGAATGGCCCTGTAGTTGGGACCCGTTGCATTAACATGTGTCCTAAAAAAAACCATGTGTCCTGCGTGCGTGAAATGCAAACCTGCTGCACCCCTCCCTGGTGCCTTGGGTTCTCCTCCCCATCATCCCTAGCTGGGGACCCTAGCAGGGGCTCAGCATCTGAGCTCCAGGAAGCTGTCTGAGCCCCCTACCCTGTGCTGGCAGGCCCAGAGTACTTGCCCCCACTTGAGGGTGTCCCGTGTCCCTGTGCTCCCTGTCCTTGTGCATGCCTCCGGCTGATGGACCATGTATATGCTGCCTGTGGACTTGGCAGTCCTGACTCTGAGCTCTGTCCTGGCAGGGTCTCCCTGGACGAGCAGGGTCCAAAGGCGAGAAGGGAGAACTGGTGCGTGGTTGCCTTCTCCAGGGGAGGGCGGCAGGGTGGGCTGGTGGGGCCCAGGGCCTGAACAGAGATGCAGGGCTCAGATTCTCCCCATTTCTGTAGGGCCGAGCTGGGGAGCTGGGCGAGGCTGGCCCCTCTGGAGAGCCAGGCATCCCCGTGAGTATACCTGGCCCTTCCCCAAGGCGTGCCTAGGGACCCTGCCTGGCCTGCCCTCATGTCCCTCTCTCCCTGGCAGGGAGACATGGGCGTGCCCGGGGAGCGTGGTGAGGCTGGCCACAGGGGATCGGCGGTGAGTTGCAGTGGGCACTGAGCAGACTAAGGTGGCACTTGGGACGTACTCATGGGCTGAGCCCTTGAAACTGGGAATTCTGGAAGAGGGAGTGTCACTTTCTCAGTCCCTTGCCCACGGGGAGGCTTTGGGGCTGGCTGCCTTGTCCCCAGGACTTTCATGCCGCAGCACAACAGAGACCCCAGCAAGCACAGGCTCCTAAGTCTGATGTCCCTTCCTGTGGAGGTGAGGGGCATGGTGCTGGGTACCATGGCTGGCCTGACAAATTGGGTCACAGAGCCCTGTAGCTGGTTCCCCAGGAGGCAGCCCTGCCTCTGTTCCCAACAATGTGCTCTGGTGGCTCAGGACTTGGGAGGCAAAGCTGGGTCCCCAAAGCTGACTCCTTGAACACAGGGCATCCCCTCACACCTGTGTCTTTCAGGGGGCCCTCGGCCCACAAGGTCCTCCTGGGCCCCCCGGCGTCCGAGGCTTCCAGGTGGGTTCACTGGGGTGTGGACTTGGCCTGTGACTGGGTTGTCCTGGCCAGGGCAGTGAGTTCCAAGAGCTAGGGCAGCGGTCTTGGCTGGGCTCTGAGAGTACTGACAGTAGTGACCCATTCACAGGGCCGGAAGGGCAGCGTAGGAGACCCTGGCCTCCCGGGTCCCCAAGGCCTCCGTGGTGAAGTGGGCAGCCGGGTAAGTAGCTGTCCTAGCAGGGGGTGCCCTGCTCGTGCCCCCCAGCCCCGCTGTGTGGAGGAGATGCCCTGTTGGCCATCGAGTCTCGCCTGAGCCTGTGCTGCCCACTTGTATGTGAGGCCATGGTGCCAGCTCTGAGCACAGCGCCCCTTGGTTCCACCACCATTTGTGCCCTGACTCTAGAACCTGGCCGCCCTGCCTTCAGCCCCAGGTGGAGCCTGACAGGGGGAGCAGCACCCCAGTGACTGCAGCAGGAGGACAGTGGCCGCTCTGGTCCCCGTGCCCTCCCCACCTGTGGGAAGGGCACTGAGGCCCAACTTGGCAGAGTCGTGCTGCTGTGCACTAAGCTTCCAGGACCCTTTCCTACTCGTCCTCAGCAGCCAGTGTTATGAACTCTTGGGAAACCCCGGACACAGGGTGTGGCCTCCTCAAGTCACCCTGGAAAAGGCTGGGGTCCCTAGGGGCCTGTATGCCTGCTTGGCTGCCCCTGCTAGGCAGTGACAAGGCCTTTGCGATGTGGGCGTGCTGACAAGGAGTGTCCAGGGCCTCACTGCAGATGCAGGGAGTAGTAGGAACTGCCAGCACCCTGGAGCAGCAGCCTCTTGTCTGGCCTCTGAGCTCCAGGAGCTTGGAAAAGGTGGGGGCTGCTAGTGGGCGGGGCGCGCTGTGCCAGTGCCACATGCGCAGCTCTAGCCCGGCCTCCGCTTCACCTGGGGCAGGGCATACCCTTCGGCTTTGGGGCCGCGCCTCACCTGGCTGGACACCTGGCCGTCCACTGGTTTGTTTGGCAGGGCTGAGGATCAGTCCTAGCCCTCAGGCCAGCTGGGCATGCCACAAGGGTATGGCAGGCAACACCCATTGCAAAGGACATCACTGGCCCACCAGGACTGAGGCCGTGAAGCTACAGGGCAGCAGGTGCTCTGTGGGGAAAGCTTCTGACATGCGCAGTCCACAGGGCAGAGGCCAGAGCCCAGAGCCACCCATCACGGTGGACACGGGATGGGCTCTGGCCTGTGCACTGGGCTTCCACATCCCTTGCCTCTGCAGGGCGAGTGTGGGGTCCAGGCAGGGTTGCCTCCTCCATCATTCCTGCGACTCCTCTAACCAGAGTCTGTTGTCTGCCTAGGGCCCGGGAGGTGCTGCTGGCCCGAAGGGAGACCAGGTGAGCAGGTGGTCAGCTTGGTCCTCTCCAAAGTGCACCCACAGGCTGCCCAGCTGTCCAGGGTCTGCTTGTCGGCCTGCTCTGCTCTGTTCACAGCTCTGTGTGCCTCCCTTGTCCCCATTCCTCTCATTCTCCAGGCTCCCATTTAACACAGAGCAAGAGGAGGGTGGGGTCAGCCCCTTGTGTCCAGGCCACAGCTGGCCATGTGGCCGGGGCAGGGAGGCCCGTATGCAAGGGTGGCTGGAGCCTGCGCTCGAGGGCCCTCTCTGCAGAGGTAGCTCAGAAAGGAGTTGGCTTCTCTGGGCACTGCTTCCTCACTGGGGAGGCTCAGGGATGGATGGGCTGTGGCTGTCCCTGTGAGCACCAAGGCCTGCCTCCAGGTGACCTCAGCCTGGTGGGCCCTGTTTAGACAGAGGCAGGCGCCAGCCTGGATTCTGGCCTCAGTCTTGGGGTGGCGAGTTGGGAGCTTCGGACAGGAAGGAGCCACAGTTAACCCTGGATGTGTCTTCTCCAGGGCATCGCAGGTTCTGATGGCCTCCCTGGGGACAAAGGAGAGTTGGTAAGTGTGCTGGGTTGCCGACTGATGGCTCTCCAGCCAGTCAGCACAGGCAAGGAGCTGTCCAGGAGACAAGGCCAGCAAACAGCACTGGTGGGGGAACAGGCCGCTCCCCACCGGCAGCCTGTGACACTCAAATGGAGGCCTGGCCACAGCTGTCCCTTCAGAGGGTACAGGTCTGGGGCTCCTGTGTTGAGGCCGATTCTGCCGACTGTGGTGAAAGTCACTCAGCTGAGGTCCTTGGATGAGTCAACCACCAGTGAGGGTTAATGGGAACGGCGATCGCAGAGTAACAGTGCTTGAGGGTATCCGTTCCCAGCCCCCAGCTCTCTGGGGACAAGGGAAGTGCAGTGCTCCTGAGATCTGACAGGAGAAAAGACCTCTGTGGTGTTCTGTTGGCCAGGGGTTGTAAGTCTATCATCAAGTCCTTCCTTTGTGTCCAGGCAGAACACAAAGGGATCCTGGTCTCTGGGGCACCCAGTGGCCCCGAGTGAACTTCTGCTTCTCAGCTGTCTGTGCTTAATTTGTTTGGGCACATTTTTTCACAGCCTTGGCGGCTGGGTCCCTGGAAATCCAAGCAGCACTGCTTTCTGGCCTCCTTCCAACGGCTGGGGTGGCGGGCAGTGGCCGAGAGGGACCGAGCCCCTGCCAGCCAGGAAACCTAGCCCGGCCTCAGGCACGCTGATGGGGCCAGGCAAGGGGCCCACGCTGCCCACGCGGCTCCGGCAGGCCCGGCCGGCGGGCCTGTTCTCTGCACCCTGGCCCCTCCGCCGGTACGCGCTCGGCTATCTGCGAGGATCAAGTTCTGTTACACACTGAACGTGACCGTTCCTGAGGGCCCTGCCGAACCAGGGCCCAGGGCTCTGGGCATTCAGCTAGCTTTGGTGGTAAAAACAATGGAAACAAGGTAGACAAAGACAAGAGAAACTGCTATGGAGTTACTAAAGTCACTCTAAATGGAAAATAAATTTTAAAAGGCATCGACAGAACGCTCAGCAATAGCAATCGTGCCCATAGGCGAGTAAAAAGAAATAACCCTTCCAACGTTTTTATGTGGCTAGAAGCTGATTTTTAAAATCTTCATCCTCATTATTAATGGCTGCTAATAATGGGCTTGGCGGGCTCTTTGGGAGCCCCTTTGGGAGCCCCTTCCCGTCTGAGGACAGCACCTACATAACCAGAGCACCCCTTTGCTCTTCACAGGGTCCCAGTGGTTCTGTCGGACCCAAAGGAGAGGTAGGTGTCCTCAGCTCTCCCCACGCACCTCCACGGTGGTCAGGCCTGTGGGTGCTGCACAGTCTTCAGTCTCGAGACAAGTGCTGCAGGGAACAGGCCTCGGGTGGCAGATCCCTGCCCCAGTGAGGTTCTTCACACTGCTTTGTTCTGTCTCTGCAGTCTGGGAGTCGAGGGGAGCTGGGACCCAAAGGCATCCAGGGTCCCAACGGCACCAGTGGCGTCCAGGGCGTCCCTGGCCCCCCGGGCCCTGTGGGCCTCCAGGGTGTGCAGGGTGTCCCTGGGATCACCGGGAAACCCGGAGTTCCGGTGAGTGGCTCCTCCTGTGCACCGGGGCCTGGCCCTTGGGCTTATCACAGGTTAGACTGTGCTTTCTCTGAATAGTTACTGTGGGCATGCTGATGGGCTGGGGGTGAATTTCAGGGCAAAGAAGCCAGCGAGCAGCGCATCAGGGAGCTGTGTGGGGGCATGCTCAGTGGTGAGTGGCTGCTGCCCTTCCCTGCCGGGTTTGCGTTCCTCCTCCTCTTCTGGGGCTACTCACCTGCCTGCCCACCCGCTGGGGCATGGGTCCATGCCTGTGCCCCCATGGGCAGCTCCTACACTCAGTATGGCAGGGGCGCCACTCTGCATCCCGGGCGTCACACCAGGCCTGGCACTCAGCAGATGCAGGAAAGTGCCCATCACTGTCTCTTAGGGCTTGGAGGGACAGCTCTCTGAGCACCCCCAAGGGGACACCTGGGATCCTCTGATTCACAGAATCTGAGACATGCCAAGATACGGGAGGGTTGCTGTCTAGCCCTGTGACTCACCCCAATGCAGTAAAAGCCCCTTGTGGGTGATAAACGGAAATTCCTTTGGAAGGCAGTTAGATTTGTGCCTTACATTAAGATATTTTCATCATTCTTGCTGACATAAATGCCTATACCTTGTTTCCCAAAAGAGCAAATTGCACAGTTGGCGGCACACCTGAGGAAGCCTTTAGCACCAGGCTCCATTGGTCGGCCTGGTCCAGCTGGTCCCCCAGGGCCCCCAGGACCACCTGGCTCCATTGGCCACCCTGGCATTCGAGGGCCTCCTGGATATCGCGGTCCCACCGGGGAGCTGGGAGACCCTGGGCCCAGAGGTGAGTACTCAGCCCACAACGAAACCTAGACATCCCACAGCCTCCAGGGTAGGAGGAGGAGAAAAGTGGGGTGTGGGGCTCTGAAGCCTAGACATTTCACAGCCTCCAGGTTGTGAGGAGGAGAGAACGGGCTGAGGCCACCTGGACACAAGCTCACTGCCTTCTGGCCCTGACTGGCCTGTGGGCACACTGGCTGGAGCCTGGTGCATGTGGGTTTGTTGCTTACCCTCTCGCCCCAGGGCTGATTCTAGGGCTCATCTGCAAAGGCTGTAAGCAACAAGGCTTGGCTGCAGGAGCGAAGGGGCTCCTCCCGGTCACTCCTAGGAGGCTGGAGCCCTGTGCTTTCAGGGCCCAACACAGGTCATCCCTCCTAATCCTCAGGAACTAGAACTTTTAAAAAACTGTTATTTTTCTCAATAGAACATTTGAAGGGAAGGGATTGGTAAAGATGTGAGGAGTAAATAATGGGCGCCCCTCTAACAGAACTTCTCCCCAGGTTGGCGGTAAAGGATCTTTTGCAAAAGGCAAAATTGAAGTATTCAAAATTCTATTTTGAGGATAAGAACCAGAATTGATTTTGGAGGGAGATGCAGGTCAGATGCAAGGACAGCTTGTCAGCGCCACAGGCCCGAGCCCTCCCCTGCAGGGCTGGGTGCTGACCCTTGGGAAGTGGGAAGCCTGTCAGCCAGACCCTGCCAGGGCCTCATGGCACAGGGGAAGCGTGTGAAGCCCCGACTCCAGTTAATTTCAAATGACTGCCCAATAACGTCTTGATCCTCAAAACCACTTCAGAAAAAGCATGTAGGCTCCTAACAAGCACTTAGATTTGTGCGTGCGTTCCTCTGGCCTGAGATGAAACGCTTCCGCAGGGGGGATATGCTGTGTAATTAAAGGCAGCGTTACCTGCTTTGAAGACAGCGAGGAGGGAGGCCCCCGGCGCTGCGGCCAGACAGCGCATCCTGCCCACACGCAGGATCTGTTCCGCTCTAACGGCAGACTGCCCCACGCTTCCTTGCGCACCTGCTTAGGTGATGGTCTTCATAGGCCACACAAAGGAGTATGCACATGCGTCAGGTTGTCTCCAGATGGAAAGCCTAGACTTGAAAATAGAAGTCATTCCTTTTCATAGATTCTTTGGGGAAAGCTTGACATTCGCTAATGGAGCAAAGGCTGGTGCAGATACACACAGGGAGCCCCTGTCCTCGGGGACCGCAGCACACGCACACCTCCGTCCTGGTCCCTGCCTCTGCACAAGCTCTGGGCAGCCTACATTTGAAGATACCTACATGACGGGGTCTTTAGGGGGCTCAGACACAGGCCCCCCATGCTGGGTCTCCATCCTCCTTCCTGGCACACAGCAGCTGAGGAAGAACACCCCCCCACCCCCCAGGACAAGCAGGTCAGGCGCACTGCATCAGGGCCATGCAAGCTGACTTGGGACCGGGGTCAGTGACTGTGAAAGCCTGGCAGGAAGGAGAATCCCACCTCCAGGGCCAGGGGCACCCAGCCTCAGTGGTGCACGTTCTACTCGGCTAATTAGGCGCCTCAAGTTCAGGTCAGTGACACTGCAGACATGCTGACAGCCTGTCGCCAGCTGAGGGTGGTGGTTACTGTTAGCACCAAGGAAAACAGAGCAGCACAAGGAACGCCTTTGCCTTCCGCGTGTTGCCACGCTGGTCAGTTTAGTCTGGCTCAGCCACTCAGGAGGCTTACAAGCTCAAGGCCAGTCAGGACAGGGGCCTCTCCCTGTGCAGCTCAGGCTGGCCTGAAGCTCACTGTGTGACCCAAGATGGTCTCCAGTTCACAATGATCCTCCTGCTTCAGCCTCCAAAGTGCTGGGCTTACAGGTATGTCCACCACACCCAGCAATTTAGTGAGATTCTGTCTCCAGTTAAGGAGTTGGGAGTGTATCTCAGCAATCCCCGAGCTCAATATCTAGTACACACACACACACAGGCTCAGTTTGCCAGGAATATGATCCTGCAGTGACTGGCATGCATCTAATGTTGTAGCTTGGTGAGAACTCCACTGCGGTCATGGATGGGAAAGCCTAACATCCCTCCATCACCACGATTCACGCAGGCCAACACAGTTGGGAGACTGGAACAGTGCCATCAGAGGGACATTTTAAAATACCTTTGGAGGGGTGGGGATATAGCTCAGTGGAACAGCGCCTGCCTGGCAGGTGTGAGGTCTTGAGTTTGATTCCCAGTACCTAAAATAAAATAAAATACCCTTAGGTAATGCAGGGGTCAGCAATCATTTTAAAATGAACACCAGATCAATAACCCATGGCTGGGCCAGGGAGATGGCTCAGTAGAATAAGCGCTTGCCTGGCAAGTGCAAGATCCTGAGTTCAATCCTTGGTACTGCAAAAAAAAAAAAAAAAAAAACCCGATGGCTTATAGGAATACATACTTCAAACAAACCAAAGTACCAGTCTGTAGCTACAAAGGTCAGGGAGGTAGGCAACAGCTGGTGCTGCTGGAAGCAGGGTGGGTTTGTGTGCCACACTCCCTGGAGCCTTGCCCGTGGCACCTGCATGTTTCTCAGGGTTTGCTGGTGGGAAAAGCATGTGGAGGGTCGAACCTGCCTTTGATCCCCACAGGATCAAACCTGTCACTGTGGTTGCACTAGCTGGCCTAATGATGTGTCTGTGTCCCCCTCAATGCAGGAAGTCAGGGTGACAGAGGAGACAAGGGCTCCCTGGGCGCAGGGCTGGATGGTCCTGCTGGAGACCAGGGACTGCAAGGTAGGAGCACTGTCACAAGAGGGTCCCTGTGGGGAGTGCTGGGGTTACAAACACATCTCCCTGTCTTAGGAGAAACGCTTTTCTCTGGGCAAAGCATTCTTGGAGACAAGATTACAAACTGCCTTACCTTCCATAATATGTAAAAGTTAAATCAACAAACATCTCCCTGCATCTATTAGCTAAGTAGATTTGGGTACTACTTAACTAATGCTGTTCTGTATCTATTTTGGTTAAATTCTAACAGTATTTTCTCCTAATTGCCTTGAATGTACTTCATATGTTTCAATGTTTTAATATTAAAAATGAAAGCTGGAGGGTCGGGGAGATGGCTCAGTAGATTAAGCACCTGCCTGGCAAGTGCAGGATCCTGAGTTTAATCCCTGGTACTGCAAAAAGAAAAAGAAAAAAGAAAGCAAGCTGGCCACAGTGGCACAAGCTTGTAATCCCAGTTACTTGGGAGGCAGAGGCAAGGAGAACTACATGCTTGACATCTACCTGGGCAACTTAGCAAAATCCTGCCTTGAACTAAAAAAAAATTTAAAAAGTCTTGAGGACTTTGTGGTACAGCACTTGCCTGTGGAGCGCAGGGTTCAGTCCCAGCACTGTTCAGAAAGACAAGACCCTGTGCGGAGGGAGTCAGCACATCCCTGGCAGAGGCCACCGCCACCAGGTTCTGACTCCTCCCCGTCTCAAGACTCACTTGTTGGAGACCTTCCTCACCTGTACACTGGCATTCCCGTGTGTCTCATCCTCCTGCTCTCTTCCTGGCTCCTCCCCATGTCCCCCTCTGGTCCCGGTAAGGCACACATGTGCCCAGCTCCTGCTTTGCTGCCCTGGACCTGTCACCTGACAGGCTGGCGAGGCCACACCTCTGCCCCTGCAAGTCCTTGAGCATCACTTCCAAGTTGCCATGCTGGGCAGACAGCAACCACCCCGCTGTCGGGCACTCGGACTTGGTCTCCATCTCACTCAGGCTGCCTCTGCCCTTCAGCTACCCTCAGGCCTCCCAAGAGCTGCCCGACAGCTGCCTCCTGGGTGTGCTGCATTCCTCACCCACTGAACCCCTCCTCACAGGCGCCCAGCCTCCTCCCCAGACCTGCCGAGCCGCACCCCTCCTCCACCTGCCTGCCCCCAACCCACCGCAGGCCCTTGCCCTGCTGAGTCCTGTCCTCTTCTGGAGTTCAGAGAGGCTAGTGCACAAAGTCAGGTTGGTGAGTTTTCACAGCTCTGTCCCCATCTGGTCTCTAGGGCCACAAGGCGTGCCTGGCATCAGCAAAGATGGCCGCGATGGCGCTCTCGGTGAGCCTGGTCTTCCTGGTGATGCCGGTCTTCCTGGTGCTACTGGGGCTCAGGGCACTCCCGGAATCTGTGACACTTCTGCCTGCCAAGGAGCCGTGTTAGGAGGGAATGGGGAAAAGTCTGGCCCTCGCAACTCATAGAAGAGAACTGAAGGAAGAAGCAGTGACGTGGTGGCCCAGGTCAGCGGCGAGGTCATTGGGGCGCAGTGTGGCCAGCTAGTTAGTCCGCAGGCCTGCCTGGGCACCCCACAGTTTCCATATTGGCAGCCGCTGGCCCCAAGGGCCTTGGGAGCAGGAATGGGTTGCTGCCGGGTCCTGTCCAGTCCTTCTGGTGGCCCAGGCATCTGTGATAATACCTCAGACTCAGGCCCTATGGATTCAAACTAAGCCCAGCATCCGGGAGGGATGCAGGGTATATACGAAGAGTGCTGTCCCATCCCATGAGATCAGACTCTGTCTTGTTTACATAACATTTGCATAAAAATGATGATACAATCCCAATAAAATGATATATTAAGTCTTCAAATTGGTGATTCACTACAGTGTAAAATGCTCTAATGCGTGGGGTCCCTTCAACAGCAAGGTCTGGCCTGCTCTGCCTCGCTCGGGGCACAGGCTTGTCTCCGACTGACAGTATTCACTGAGCTGCACTGGAGTCTACTGCCTCACCTGGGTAAAAGAAAGCCACTCGCCGGAAACTCCACTCCAAACATACAGTTTATTACATGTCATGACTCGCAAGAGGAGAATTTGGGCACATAAGCAGTCTACTGAGAAAATATTTTACATATAGACAAAAGTAGCTTTAAAGGAGGTCTCTGGAAAATTTTTAGTGAAAAGTTTTAAAATAGTACTGCATTTTGCAACACAAAGTACCATGAGGCTGGAAATATTACAAAGGGGAGCGATACAACAAATGGAATAAAAATTTCAAACTACTTCTAGTTAAGAACAATTTACCTTCTTCCAATTGCTAAAGGGGCATATTTAAAATGAAAATAAAATAAATAAAAAGTAATGTATGTTCTAAGAATAAAGAAATTACAAAAGATGTTAATTTTTTTTATCATGTTAAGAAAACATGATGGAATCAGACAGTAATTGGGAATTACTAACATCAAGATGTCTTCATCCCCAAATGATCTAAGAGGGCATTAGTGACTGAGAATTTGGTTCTAGACAAATACTTCGGCAAAATGCTCTCAAAGCCCCTCCTGGAGTCCATCCACACAAGCCACGGCTCTTTGGTCACACAGCTGGAGCAGAGCGCCAGGGTCGCGGAACGCTGCGGTCCGTGGAGTGTGCGTGAACAGCCCTTCGCTCCCGGGACTCCTGACTGTCCAGTCACTTGGTCTCCAGCGCGGGGCTGTTCTGCAGACTCCCCTGTGCAGGACGGGTCACCAAGGAGTCTGGTCTGCTCAGCTTTAGCCTTCTGCCCGTTTTACCGCAAAACACACTCTCGAATTCCTAGAGCCAAAAAGGGGTCATTAATGTACCAAACTCATAGATGTGAATGCTGCTGTCTTCAAAGGCAGAGACTGAAATGAAAAGCTGCACAGGTGCTTCAAAGTACTCAATTTCAGGGTGTCACAAACTATTACCTGTAAAGGCACATGAGTGATAAATGCGGGGCTTCAAACATTTTGTACAGTTACAATATATATGTACTTTTATCTTTTCCAACAGATTCTCAAAGTGTCTGACCACATTTGAAAGTGGGCATATTTTTGTTGTAAAAATTATGGAACATACAAATGCACCTTTGTAACCATTTCTGGGTGTGTGGCTGGTGGTGCCCATCCGGGCCCACTCTCTATTGCTGCCCTCCCCTCTGCACTGCTAAGTGACCTGCAGCCAGCCTGGGGTCAGGTGCTGACACGAAGACAGCCTTGTACATGTACAACTAAGTAAGAGCCGTTCCTGCAGTGCCCTGCCAGCTATGGGTCTCTGCTCATGTCATCCTGCCTGTCTTCTGCTTAAAGAGCCTCAATTCTAAACTGGGGGTGATAGCACATTTCTGTAATCCCGGCACTCTCAAGGCTGAGGCAGGAGGACTTCAAGTTCCAGCTCAGCCTGGGCAATTTAGTGACTTAAGAAGATCCTGTCTCAAAATGAAATCTACATGGGCTGGGGAGATGGCTCAGTAGAATAAGCTCTTCCCTGGCAAGTGCAAGGACCTGAGTTCAATCCCCGGATCTGCCAAAAATAATAATAATAGTAGTAATAATAATAATAAATAAAATCTACAAAAAGGGCCCGGGATAGGCTCAGTGTGAAGGTACCGGGTTCAATCCCCAGTACCAAAACCAAAAAACAAAATTCTGGGCTGGGGAGATAGCTCAATAGAATAAGCACTTGCCTGGCAAGCGCAAGGACCTAAGTTAAATCCCCAGTATTGGAAAAAAAAGAAAAAGTTCTACTGCCCGCAAGGGTCAGTCTCAGCCTCCCACCCAAACCTCATCAAGTCTACATTGGCACCAGTTCACAGGAAAGCCAAGAGACAAAAAAGTAAACACCAAGATTCTGCAAAGTGTGGAAAAATCTATAAGACAAATTAATTATTCTGCTTCTTCAGTACATCAATGGTAAGGAAAAAAACAAGGGGTGGGGACAATTACAGATTAAAGATGCTTAGGCACTAATCACCACATGCAGTATTTGTATCCGAGTTCAACTAAGGCTACAGACATTTGTGAGCGGAGATGGGCATCAGGGAACGAGTGTGGTCCACAATACTGCTGAGACTGTCCTGTTCCCACAAGGCTGTTTGCTTCTTGGAGATACAACTGTGCCTGAGATGGCAAGAACAGTTTTAAAATAATTTACTGAGGGTGGGTTATGGGGTGGGAGAGTGAAACAAATTATGCCAGAGAATGAGTTTTAGGAACATGGAAATTCATTATTTTATTCTCTCCATTTTTGTAGTTTGGAAAAAATTTTAAGGTTTTTTTTTTTTTCTTTTCTTTTTTTGGGCAGAACTGGGGATTGAACTCAGGTCCTTGCACTTGCCAGACAAGTGCTTATTCTACTGAGCCATCTCCCCAGCCCTGAAAAAATTTTAAAGCATAGCATTCTAGGAAAGTAACTCTAAGTTTCTATGTTTTATTGTGTTAAAATATATATAACAAATTTTGTTACTTTAGCCATGTGTGGCACACGTCTGTGGTGTTGAGTGTAGCCATGGTTCTGTACATCCAGGACCATGAGCTTTTTCTAAAACTTTCTCATCATTTCCAACAAAACTCTGTTCCAGGTCAGCACAGCGGTGTCTGCAGATTTAGACATCAGAGCAAGTTCTGATCTTAAGGCTTTGTGTGGAATGGTGGCAACTGCCGCTCACCTTGGTTATTCCGCCGTTGCTAGCAATCATATTGTTGACTTTAAGGAAGAAACAGGAAATTGAAAAACAAATAGCGGTTTCAGAGCTTTTCACAACTTTGCCGATTATTCAGGGAAAATCAAGACCAATTAAAATTTTAGCTAGATGGACGATTATAGTTACAGATCCATCTCACTGCAATGTCTTGAGGGTGACTTCTTCAAGAGTCTGGCTATATGATATCATTGCAGTTTTTCCAAAGACAGAAAAACTTTCCCTGTTGCTTGCACACATTTAGATGTGGATTTAGCCTGTGTTACTGTAAGAGAGAAACTGCCATTTTGCTTTAGAAGACCACTGATTAATGTGGCAATTGACCGAGGTTGTGGGCTTTCAACTTGTCTATAGCCCTGCTATCAAAGACTCCACAATGAGAAGGTACACAATTCCCAGCGCCCTCAATTTGATGCAGATCTGCAAAGCAAAGAATGTAATTATATCTAGTGCTGCAGAAAGGCCTTTGGAAATAAGAGGACCATATGATGTGGCAAACTTGGGGCTGCTGTTTGGGCTGTCCGGAGGTGACGCCAAAGCTGCGGTGTCCACTAACTGCCGAGCAGTGTTCTCCATGGAGAAACTAGAAAAACTGCTTTTGGAATTATTTCTACAGTTAAGAAACCTCACCCATCAGAAGGGGATGATGATTCTCTTCCAGCTTGCAAAAAAGCCAAGTGTGAAGGCTGAAGGGAACGGACCAGCCTTGGTTAGCACTGCCTTTCCCCCATTTATACTTCATCAGCCACAACGAAAATACAAAGTTTTCTATGCAGCTTTAGATAGATAGATAGACAGACAGACAGACAGACAGACAGATATATTTTTTTATTTTTATTTTTTGGTGGACCCGGGGCTTGAACTCAGGCCCCTGTGCTTGCCAGGGAAGCACTTCTTCCACTGAGCCATCTCCCCGGCCCTTGCAGCTTTATATTTAAGCCACTAAAATAACAAAAACTTTTATAACTTTACATAAACTTTTTATTTTTTATTATTTTTTTTAATTTTTATTTATTTGAGAGAGAGAGAGAGAGAGAGAGAGAGAGAGAGAGAGAGAGAGAGAGAGAGAGGTGTGTGGGCAGCTCAGCCCACCAGGGGGCGGGGCTGGCTGGCATGTGGTGCTGGGGGATTGAACCGCGGTCCCTGATGCCTTGCCAAGCTTGTTCTAAGTAGGTGCTTTAGACCACTGAGCCATCTCTCCAGCCCCCATAAACTTTTTGTAAAGGCCATCAGCTTAATGAATTTAGCTATACTTTAAGAGAAAGATTGGTTAATCCTTTGTGTAAGTGACGAATGTTCTATGTCTAAAACTTTCTTTTTTTTGGTGTAACTTGTATATTTTTATTGCTAAAAACAAAATCAGGTCACATTTAAAAACTTTTAAAAAGCTTATTATACATTACAAAAGAATAAAATTCTATATAAATGATAAGCAATCTACTGGGAAGGACAGAAAAACTATCTGTGAGACTGAACAAAAATTAAGAGTTCACCCTATTGCTGAAAGCATGTTCCCTCTTGGAGACAGAAGTTCTGTTGTAATACTTTCCATACTTTGAAATTTTTAGATTAAAATAATAAAAGACTTAAAGACAGCAGTTAAACAAAAAGTTTTAACTAACTTAATAGATAAACTAAGCAGGGAAACAAATTTCCTGTAGATCTTTCAATCCTAAATATGCTAGGATCTCAAACGCCCACCAGAAACCTCTCCACTTCCAGCTCTCAAGAACAACCAACAGTGCTGAGGAATCCCCACTGCGAAGCCTCCACAGATAACAGCACACAGAACACTTTAGTTATGTGATAAAGACTCGTAAGAGAAGGTCATTTTAATAGATGTCCAGCAAATACTTCAAATAAAGTAGGGTGTTCATATTTTAAAATTATTTTTTAAAAAGGGCCTCACAAACACATCTGAACAAGTACTACTTATGCTTGACCTTCTACTGGCAGTGACAAATATCAGCAAAGTTCTAAAGGGGCTGGGACACCTCATGGACCCTCTACGTCTAAAACTTTCTTGTTCCTCTAAAAACTAATGCTTTTCTACTTGCTATGCATGGCTCATTGTTTTATTTTATTT